CTAAACTCCACTATCCTCGTCACTTCATCAGAGACTGCAGACGGCGGGCATTAAACATCTTCAACACACCCAGAGAAGACACTGCCGAGAGAGATACATAGTCCTCCCAACCAACTCCATTGCCAAACATGTTTCCAACATCTTTGCCAAAACATCATTCCAAGTATCTACCTCCACAACCACGACCATCAAGGACATCACCAGTAGTAGACAGGACAAGCCTCCATCCTCTGCAGGGGTATACATAATCCCTTGTAATGACTGCAACAAATTATATGTGGGCGAAACATCAAGAGACCTCCAAAACACGTATTTCAGAAACACCAATATGCAAGCAGGACTGACGATACAAGGAATGCCTGTGTACAACATCGCAATTCACACAACCATTTAATTAACTACAGAAACTCAAGACTTATAGCCACAGAAGACAACACTCAATACAGAAGAATCCTGGAATCATCGCTCATCTCTACAACCAACAATTTTCAACCAGAACAATGGCTTCTATAACATAGCTGAACCACTCGCCAAGAAACTTCTTCATCGCTATCCCACATAAGAACATAGAACACTGCAGAAGGTCTACTCACCACTTGTCCAATACCCCTGCCAAGCTACCCAAGACTCTATAACCCCACCCGGTAGATCATCAGATGCAGCATTCTCCACCTGACCTCAACACTCTGAACATGACTATAAATACTCTCGTACCTTCCAACCCAGGTAGATCCGTGTGTGACTTGAAAAAGCCCACTGTGTGGGTGAAACGTTGTCAATAAAGGATCACATTATACTGCATTTGTGTTTATATTTCCATTGTATCGGTATTTTATACCATTTATTTCCACCCTGGCAAACTCTGTTGACACCGAGCTCTGAGGTGGGTACCTCAGCCTCACAAGTGGCTTATAGGACAGAGTTTCACAAATGACTGATGTTGCAAGAAACTCGCCTGCATGCACGTATAAAGGACTAACTTACTTGGTGTTGCAGCATATATCCTGATCTTCAGCTTCCCTAAGCTTAGCCTTAGCCCCTTTGGACTTCCTCTCAGAAACCACGTGCAACCGGGAGCCTTAATTCCTGCAATATTCAATCGTTATTAGTGTCCTGCCTGCACCTCAGAAATTCCTATATCCAAGAGGGTATGTATCCCCTAGTATAACTATGCAGACACGGACACTAGCTTCCAGACTGCTCTGAGACACTGGTACTTACTGGGCATGCACTGCCTGTTGCACACCGGGCCCACAGATCAAACTCACTCACAATCTCCCCAGACACTGGCCAGAAATCTACGAGATAAAGCGGAGGTTTTGTCTTACTGTATGGGCCTGACGGAGGTCATCTACGGTACATCGAGGTGCCTCTACCAGATTTCCCCAGGTCTCAAATGTAAAGACACGTGGGGGGCGCCGTCTGCTGATCACGGCACGTCTTGTCCAGTTGGTGTCTGTCTTAAGAAGGACGCTATTGTGTCTTTGAGACCCGCACCTTGTCATTCAAGCTAGGGCTGCCAGTTCTCCCTAGCTAACTTAACCTAGTGTTTGCCTACATTATCGGCCTATTACTACCTATGTTAAGGTCTTAGGTCTACATTATTATTATCTACAGTTGCCTCAATAATCCTAATATTAGTGTACTACCAGTAAAACTACCTACTCCTTCCCTGAAGGGTAAATCTATAAATTAAATAAGCTTACCAACAATCCCCGCCAACTCGAGAGAATGCTTTTATGTTTGGGTGGGGTATAAGGGCCATCAAGCTCAGCCGTTCCATCACGGCCATGTCGGATCAGTCCTGTGGAACTTTAGGGACCAAATAAATTTCCACACACACACACACACACACACACACACACACACATATGCTGCATATGCTGCAGCATATGGGCGCCTGGCAAACCTGAGAACAGCATTCCGACACCTTAGTAAGGAATCATTCAAGACACTGTACACCGTGTATGTCAGGCCCATACTGGAGTATGCAGCACCTGTTTGGAACCCGCACTTGATAAAGCACGTCAAGAAACTAGAGAAAGTACAAAGGTTTGCAACAAGGTTAGTTCCAGAGCTAAGGGGAATGTCCTATGAAGAAAGATTAAGGGAAATCGGCCTGACGACACTGGAGGACAGGAGGGTCAGGGGAGACATGATAACGACATATAAAATACTGCGTGGAATAGACAAGGTGGACAAAGACAGGATGTTCCAGGGAGGGGACACAGAAACAAGAGGCCACAATTGGAAGTTGAAGACACAAATGAGTCAGAGAGATAGTAGGAAGTATTTCTTCAGTCATAGAGTTGTAAGGCAGTGGAATAGCCTAGAAAATGACGTAGTGGAGGCAGGAACCATACACAGTTTTAAGACGAGGTTTGATAAAGCTCATGGAGCGGGGAGAGAGAGGGTTTAGTAGCAACCGGTGAAGAGGCGGGGCCAGGAGCTAGGACTCGACCCCTGCAACCACAAATAGGTGAGTACAAATAGGTGAGTACACACACAGTAGCGGCCAGTGAAGAGGCGAGGCAAGGAGCTGTGGCTCGACCCCTTCTACCAAGACTAGGTGAGTACAACTAGGTGAGTACACACACATCAGAAAGTCTGGGTTATTTCTCAGTCAGTCACGCTACTGGTGGTATGGGAAAGTCCAAACAGTACTGACTCGGGTTTCCCATGGCCTCACGTAGCTCATAGCGGCAGTAAGTAGTTCTTCACCATGAAAGTAAACACAGCAGCCTTCCTTGAGATTCATTTAATGTTCTGTGACTGTGTGCGTTGTAAAGACTTTATTAAACGACGTTTCGCTCGAGTGGAGCTTTATAAAGCTATTGTAAAGCTGTAAAAGCTTTTAATGTCTTTATATTGTTTACAATACCTCTTTCACAGCCTTCTTTATAGGATATATTTCAATATAATTTTATGTTTAAAATGGATGAATTTACATCAAGATTTTCTTAAATAGTCGAGGATATTCCTGTATATAACAGTACTTATATGAGAGTACTCATATGAGAGTACTCGTATGAGAGTACTTATATGAGAAAGACAGCTAGGAGACTCTATGATCTATATCGAGGCTGTCTGCTGAGAAGAAAAAACTATTGTCTAGTTGCCTCAAATTTAATGTTAGATAGTTAAGAGTAGGAGAGTCATCATGGTAGGAGAGTCCCTCCTACCATGATGACAGATGCAAAATATTTGCGAGATAATTTCATGGCAAAAATTTGCATTGAGGTTTTAATAGAAATATTGTAATTATTATCAAATTAAGTGTTAAACCTGTAAGGGTCATGCAGGAATATTCAACAGGAAAGGCGCCAGTAACATATGTTGTCACCATTATTATATCCTGGGTGATCTGTGGTCATTCAGAGGCTCTTAGTGCCTCACTTAACATCAATGTTCGATTGACTACAGCTGACACTTGTACTGTATTGAGTTGTGTCTGATATTTACAAATTGTTTTATCACGAGGTTCTGAAATGGCTGCATTTTTGTTTTCAGTTAGAGCTTCAGTGGGCAGTATATTCCAGTGATCTCATAGACCTATTACCAATTTTTGTTTTTACCTACATTAGTTCTGCACATGTTGCCTCGAAATTTTATGAACTTATTTCGTGTTCCTGAGTTAATTTCCACTTTAAATAGTTGTTCGAGTTTCATTGTAACATATTTTTTTTCTTTCAACACACCGGCCGTATCCCACCGAGGTGGGGGCCCAAAAGGAGAAACGAAAGTTTTCGTTTCTCCTTGTATATTTATTAATATATACAGGAGAAGGGGTTACTAGCCCCTTGCTCCCGGCATTTTAGTCGCCTCTTACAACACGCATGGCTTACAGGAGGAAGAATTCTGTTCCACTTTCCCATGGAGATAAGAGTGAAATAAACAAGAACAAGGACTAGAAAGAAAATAGCAGAAAACCCAGAGGGGTGTGTATATATATATATGCTTGTACATGTATGTGTAGTGTGACCTAAGTGTAAGTAGAAGTAGCAAGACGTACCTGTAATCTTGCATATTTATGAGACAGACAAAAGACACCAGCAATCCTACCATCATGTAAAACAATTACAGGGTTTCGTCTTACACTGGCTTGGCAGGACGGTAGTACCTCCCTGGGTGGTTGCTGTCTACCAACCTACTTCCTTTAATTGTAACATATATGCTCAGTAAATGCAGAGCTAAAGACTATGCTGTAGGATTTATTCTTGTTCATTTACTACCATTTTCAAATGTCTCTTGTTTTTCCCTCCGTCATATATGAAGCATCCTCTGTAATTATTTTTGTTGTTTACTGTGTTCATATTTTTCTTACTTTCTCTCTGTTACTGTATTAAGTTTCAGTTGTTTGCTGGATTTCCAGTCTGTTTATATTTCATGAATGTGTTGCAGTTGTGGCCTATGATGCCAACTATTTCTTATGTCACCTAAACTGTATTTGTGTTGTTAATGTTGTTGATGGCACTGCTGATCCTGTAGTCTCGCTTCTTGTTATTATTTATTTTGATAATTACGTTTTTCATTGTTTATGTTATTATTGATGTAGTTGATCCTTTTGCTTCATTTCCTGTTAATGTTAATGCTACTAATTCCGTTGTTTCACTGTTGCTGTTATTGTTAATGATGTTTTCTCATTATCTGTTTTATTGTTAATGTTGTTGATCCTGTTGCATGACTGTTCCTGGTGACGATAACAGTGACATGTGGACGCAAGACAACGGTTTATAATAAACAACTGATGTAATGTATATCTTTAACTAGAAATTACTGGAAACAAGAAAAAATACGTAGAAGCATCCTCTCTCTCATCTTTTATATTAAGTTGACAAGCATATTTTCTATGTCTATTGTTTTTATCTCTGCAACGAGTTCCATCATTTTTTCTCGTTAATTCCACTTGTTAATCATTATTTCCCTCACTTCACGTTCTTTCCCTTTCTTGAAATTTTCCAGTTCATTGTGTAGTTTGTGGAAATGTTTCAGTGTGTTGCAACCAGGTGTCAGATATAAAAATCACTGGGAAAGACCGTCAATACACTTGTCTGTCCTCAGCGCCACGACATCATCCACGTCACCATGAAGTCGTCACGTGTTCTGTTGGTTGTCTTCCTCGCTGTCTGCCTGATCAGGTGAGAGTAAACTTATCTACTGCGAGTTCTATTACCTCCACACCACCCCCATTCACCGTTGTTCCTCCCGTTAATAAGAGAGGCCGTCTAGTTGACAGGCTGTGGTGGACGTTGTCCTTTGCATATAGATGAAATAGAAAGGTCTGTGAATCGAATGTGGGGAAAGTATATGAACCTCACTGGAAGAAAGTCTAAGATTGTGGATAAGTTGGGATGAAAATCTATGAATGGAAGGTGAAAAAAATCTTGTGATTATGGATGGGATACTAAGAAAATCTGTAGATGAGATGGGATAAGAACATAAGAACGAAGGAACACTGCAGAAGGCCTACTGGCCCATGCGAGGCAGGTCCAAGTCTCCTACCGGCTTAAGCCAATGCACCCAACCTAGTCAGGTCAGGTCACATTGACTTAAGGGAGGAACACGGCAACCGACCTGGTAGCACAAACTATCAGGTCTAACTCACACCCACCCACATCTACTCATGTATTTATCCAACCTATTTTTAAAGCTACACAACGTTCTGGCCTCTATAACGGTACTTGGGAGTTTGTTCCACTCATCCACAACTCTATTACCAAACCAGTACTTTCCTATATCCTTCCTGAATCTGAATTTTTCCAACTTAAAACCATTGCTGCGAGTCCTGTCTAGGCTAGATATTTTCAGCACACTATTACATTCCCTTTATTTATTCTGTCTTCCATTAATACACCTCAATCATATCCCCCCTAATTCTACGTCTTTCTAGAGAGTGCAGTTTCAGGGCCCTTAGTCTATCCTCATAGGGAAGGTTTCTGATACATGGGATCAACTTTGTCATCCTCCTTTGTACATTTTCCAGAGAATTTATATCCATTCTGTAATACGGTGACCAAAACTGTGCAGCATAATCTAAATGAGGCCTAACCAAGGATGTATAGAGTTGATGGGATGGGTTGAGAAGATTATTATTATTATTATTATTATTATTATTATTATTATTATTATTATTATTATTATTATAAAAATAAGCGCTAAACTTGGGTTGTGAATTATTATTATAATCAAAAGAAGCGCTAAACCGGAAGGGTTATACAGCCCTGGGTTGGGAAAAAAGTCTATGAAAAGGAAAAGGAAAAAGAATCTGTTGAGGGAAAGGGAAGAAAATCCGTGACTAAATATAAAGTTTAATCATAATGGATAATTTCCTTTCCTCATCCTTGTTGCATCCTTAACATGCTGGACGACAACATTGTTTGACAGTTCAGTAGTTTTCCTTTCCATGTTCTTTCATTGGGCGTTGTCTTCAGGGTGAAGGGCTCTTGATTCAAGGATTTGGAGTTATTCTCCAGTCGTTATATCAACCATGAAAATTTTCCACTCTCCAGACACTGAATGATCCCTACGAGTTAAGTTTTACTCAATAATAATAATAATAATTATAATAATAATAATAATATGTAGAAAACAAACTCCACACACCTGCATTGTTCTTGTTAAAGTCTGTTAGGAATAATTAATTGAGATCATGTTAGGTATCAAGACTTGTAAGTGTCGTGGGAAATAGACTGTGCCATGGTAGATCTTACCGAGGACGTAGAATTCAAACCAGCTGAGGTAGGATGACAACTCTTAGCCATTAAGACAACCAACTCAGAAAATAGGTATTCAAAATGAAGGTGGAATTATGAGTAAGTCGAGAGCTTCATAACTGGCTAATCTGTCTTAGCGAGGACACTTTGAGCTCTGTAATGATGTGGGTGATGTGGTTGCGTAAGTAGTGTGATTGATGTGGTTGTGTTTGCTACAGTGACAGTCATGAGATGTGTCACCTGGACAAGTCTGTAATCAGTACAATACTCTTGAAAGACTGATGGACTGATTACATCGGCTGAGGGACTGATTACCTGAAACTTTTTCTGATTTTCACCATTCTTCTATGTATAGGACTGTTGAAGCCACTGTGTGGCTTCAATAGTCCTGGAAATATGGGGCTAATTAGGTTCAGTCCGAGGAAGGGAGGGTAACACCAGCACCGCAAAGTCTTTTTTTTTCGATTTTACTATTTTTTGGTAATAAATGGTAAAAAATCTGAAAAAGCAGTTATGACTGATTAAATATTAGAGTTGTTATAGAGCTTCAGTGTTGTCTAATGTATTAAAACCAACATGTGCACCTCCAGTGGTCCGTAACTTATCTAATCAATACTCTGGCTCATTCCACATAATGTGACTTTCAAGAATAAGTCTCCAGGGACAACCAGAGAGTTCTCCTGAAAGGACATTCGAAACACTGTCATCCGTCATCTCCCTCCCTTGCCAGCCTCTTCAATCTTAATAAGATCAAACACGAACTGTTTGATTATACGACTCATCCTTGCCTGTATAATTTTGGGTCATGTCAGGCGAGTCGCCTGAGAAGGCTCGTCAAAGCACTTGTTAAGATAAGATAAGATAAGATTTCGTTCGGATTTTTAACCCTGCAGGGTTAGCCACCCAGGATAACCCAAGAAAGTCAGTGCGTCATCGAGGACTGTCTAACTTATTTCCATTGGGGTCCTTAATCTTGTCCCCCAGGATGCGACCCACACCAGTCGACTAACACCCAGGTACCTATTTGCTGATAGGTGAACAGGACAACAGGTGTAAGGAAACGTGTCGAAATGTTTCCACCCGCCGGGAATCGAACCCGGGCCCTCCGGGTTCGATTATCTTGTCATTCCCGTATGGGTTTAGTATATTTGTTTTGCATAACACTGGACTTTCTGCATGCACACCTAAATGTCATCCATTTGTACAAATATTGTATCATTGTTATTGTCTCTACTGACTCACAATTGCTCTGACAATCTTTTCAGTTATCCTGACATTTTCGAAAAAATAAGTGAATATTAAAAAATAATGAAAAATGTGCCAAAACGTTATTTTATTGCCATTTTTCGACGATTCACTGCAGTTTGAAGCATTTTCTGACATATCTCAAGTTTTAGCTAAAAAAAATGCATTTCACGTGGCCACAAAAAAATCCCTGATATTGATCATATTTCAGCTTTTTTTTCTTGGACGCTTATAGTCTCTGAAACACAAAGTCAGAAACCGTTGTGTATGTTCCTGTAAGACGGCTGGTTGTAGCAGGAGGACCAGCTGTCTGGCCATCATGCCCAACCCATCTGCCTAAGAACTTTTTGTTACAATAAATAAGCTAATGTATGCAGATAACTGAGTTTCCATATCTTTTACCTGACTTTAGTAATAAATCTGTAAAATCGGAAAAGGACTTAGTGACACCAGTTTATGAAAAAAAAAGTGATTTTATGAAATTTATGTGACTAAATCAGCTGTTGTTATATCCAATGCTATTATCAAGAAAATAATTGTAATAATAATAATAATAATAATAATAATAATAATAATAATAATAATAATAATAATAATAATAATAATAATATCTTTTTCCCATGATAATCAACGTGTGGTGACCATCTGGCTGTGATCCACCTGCCCGGTGTTACAATATCTGCAGCGCTGTGTCAGCACAGGACGAAGGCATTGAGGTAGTAAAGACAGTTATACAAGAACGAGAGAGAGAGAGAGAGAGAGGAGAGAGAGAGAGAGAGAGAGGAGAGAGGGCAGGAGAAGAGAGGGGAGAGAGGAAAAGAGAGGAGAGAGAGAGAGAGAGGAGAGAGAGAGAGAGAGAGGGGAGGATAGAGAGAGAAAGAAAGAAAGAAAGAGAGGGGAGAGACAGAGGAGAGACAGAGAGACAGAGACAGAGAGAAACAGAGAGAGAGCATGATAATATCAACGAAATACAATCAGTTGGTCAAAAGGGAAAAAGCTGGCCACAGATGGCTCCAACTTCATCCTGTTCCCCGCTTGTATTTTTCATAACAAAAAAAAAGGCTTCCAAAATGAGTGATGTAGGGTAACAGCTCTTGCTTGTCAAAAAAAGTGGGAAAAATTTTTAACAACTAACCCTGAAAAAACCATGTGTAAACGAGAGGGAGAGGGAGGAGAGAGAGAGAGGAGGGAAGAAAAAGGAGGGGGGGAGAGAAGAGGGGAGAGAGAGGAGAGGAGGGGAAGAGGGGAGAGGAGGAGGGGGGAAGAGAGAGAGAGAGAGAGAATATGTTAGTGTGAGAATTTAAGACAATTTCTGTTTGCACAGCCGCCAGATGATCTGATAGACGACGAGGACCCTCACCGTGACCACTGTCTCGACCCTGACGAAGATGAACACGACATCTTCCATCCAGGTGTCCCTCACGACGAACACTGTCGTAAACTTGGTCACATTGACTGAACACCCTGATGCTGAACAAGACCCCTCTACTGGTGTTATCTCGACTCTTTCAAAAGATGTCCCACTAAATCAAAATGCATAATGTCTTAAGACTCTTGTCTTTAATGTTTCAAAAAGTTGACATACTAAATTTAAAATCTTTAATTAAAAAAATTTGAATGAGCTTTTCTTTTAATGGGTCGACAGTTACCAAATTAAATCATTATCAGTAACTATACACATGCCCATAGTTTTTGTAACCTCCTACATAAAGTTACAACAACATAACAATTGTTAGGGATTGTTCATGGTACCAATTACACACACCAACACAATACTGCCTCAGGATATATACACAGAGAGATGTATGCTTCTCAGTGTATACAAGTGTACACTGAGAGTTTACTTTAATTCCTATTTCAGGAATTATAGTATTCTTGACAGGTAGTGAAAGGGTTTACCTGTAGCCTTAAATAACTCTGGTGAAGTCGGCCCCATTAACCAACTAAGACTGCCGGACCCACAAAGACGTATCCTGCCAGATAAACTGCCTTGTCTAACAAGTAGTTCCCACATGCAACAGTGTATTATTAGGAGTACATTATTATTATTATTACTATTACTGGTAGTAGTAGAAGTAGTAGTAATACTAGTAGTAGTAATAGTAGTAGTAGTAGTAGCAATAGTAGTAGTAGTAGTAGTAATAGCAGTAGTAGTAGTAGTAGTAGTAGTAATAGTAGTAGTAGTAATAATAATAGTAGCAGTAGTAGCAGTAGTAATAGTAGCAGTAATAGTAGTAGTAGTAATTTTCTAGAAATGAGTAGCTGAATTAGGAAATGAATTTAGATTGTACTGGAAGGGCCATGGGCACACTGTATGTTACAGTGTTACAGTGTACACTGTATGTTACAGTGTTACAATGTACACTGTATGTTACAGCGTTACAGTGTACACTATATGTTACAGTGTTACAGTGTACACTGTATGTTACAGTGTACACTGTACTTGCAGGTTACAGTGTACACTGTATGTTACAGTGTTACAGTGTACACTGTATGTTACAGTGTTACAGTGTACACTGTATGTTACAGTGTTACAATGTACACTGTATGTTACAGCGTTACAGTGTACACTATATGTTACAGTGTTACAGTGTACACTGTATGTTACAGTGTACACTGTACGTTGCAGTGTTACAGTGTACACTGTACGTTGCAGTGTTACAGTGTACACTGTATGTTACAGTGTTACAGTGTACACTGTACGTTGCAGTGTTACAGTGTACACTGTACGTTGCAGTGTTACAGTGTACACTGTACGTTGCAGTGTTACAGTGTACACTGTACGTTGCAGTGTTACAGTGTACACTGTACGTTGCAGTGTTACAGTGTACACTGTATGTTACAGTGTTACAGTGTACACTGTACGTTGCAGTGTTACAGTGTACACTGTATGTTACAGTGTTACAGTGTACACTGTACGTTGCAGTGTTACAGTGTACACTGTACGTTACAGTGTTACAGTGTACACTGTACGTTGCAGTGTTACAGTGTACACTGTACGTTGCAGTGTTACAGTGTACACTGTATGTTACAGTGTTACAGTGTACACTGTATGTTACAGTGTTACAGTGTACACTGAGGATTCAATGGTTCTATAAATAAAGTGAAGGTTGAACTAAGCACAATTAACTTTTTATATGAATCATATAATTAAATATAACATTCTGACATCTTATTTCAATCAAAATTTACTTACGTATGTTTTGTGGTTAATATGATTGTTAAGAACCTCTTCGTTTACAACACAATTAATATATTTATAGTTTGGAGGATTTCACAACCTTACATAACAGTTTAGTTGCTCCTGTTACCCCCTGCCTGTGGCTCGGAATAATTTCGTTAACCTCTCACAGTGACCACTGAGTACCACTGTGACACTCATTATAACTTAATACAATGTCACCTGGGGTTATGATGACACAGGTGGATCACTTGCACTATAGTGATGTTCTCCCAGTGAAGTAACATTTATTATGTTAAACTTGGCTCGGTACTTAAGCACTTTATTTGATTATTTATATTGACTTCTGGTGTATCTCTATAAAAAAACAAGTACAGTCTTCAGTCTTCTTCCATTCAATAAATTAGAGTGTTTTTCAGTAGTGGGAGACTTGCTGAAGTAAGTCAGAGGACGGCCACTAGTGTGGTTTTCTGCCTAACACCTTTAATGCAGATAAATGATTCACAGAACAACAAGTGGATAAATTAGACACATGTGCAACACTTGGCTGTCTTTATTGTGGAAACGTTTCGCCACACAGTGGCTTCATCAGTCCTATACACAGAACAATGGTGAAGATCAGAAGGAGTTTGAGGAAATCAGTCCCTCAGCTTGGAGTCGATGTAACCAGTCTATCAATATTGAAAAGAATACAGGGGCTTATATACTGTAGACAGATGAAGTGAAGCAGTCGGAGGAGATATCACATTGGACAAACTCACATGTGGAAGTAGGTCATGCTTATGGGTTAGGTAAGCGATCACTTCGACTCCAGGCTGAGGGACTGCTTACCTCAAACTCCTTCTGATCTTTACAATTCTTCTTTGTATAGGACTCATAAAGTCACTGATAAGCGAAACGTTTCCGCAGTAAAGATTCCCAAGTGTTGCACATGTGTCTAATTTATAATACTTTTAAATTCTTCAAGACGCTTTCTGTCAATGAAAAGTTTGCCTCAAGTAGCGCTTGACTGTCCCTGTCATCTTGACGTAGCATCTCAACCCTGTCAAGTAGCGCTGGACTGTCCCTGTCATCTTGACGTGGCATCTCAACCCTGTAAAGTAGCGCTGGACTGCCCCCTTGTCATCTTGACGTAGCTCTCAACCCTGTCAAGTAGCACTGGACTGTCCCTGTCATCTTGACGTAGCACCCTAAAACCCTGTCAAGTAGCGCGGGGACTGTCCCTGTCATCTTGACGTAGCATCTCAACCCTGTCAAGTAGCGCTGGACTGTCCCTGTCATCTTGGCGTAGCATCTCAACCCTGTCAAGTAGCGCTGGACTGTCCCTGTCATCTTGACGTAGCATCTCAACCCTGTCAAGTAGCGCTGGACTGTCCCTGTCATCTTGACGTAGCATCTCAAACCCTGTCAAGTAGCGCTGGATGTCCTGTCATCTTGACGTAGCATCTCAACCCTGTCAAGTAGCGCTGGGACTGTCTCTGTCATCTGACGTAGCATCTCAACCCTGTCAAGTAGCGCTGGACTGTCCCTGTCATCTTGACGTAGCATCTCAACCCTGTCAAGTAGCGCTGGACTGTCCCTGTCATCTTGACGTAGCATCTCAACCCTGTCAAGTAGCGCTGGACTGTCCCTGTCATCTGACGTAGCATCTCAACCCTGTCAAGTAGCGCGGACTGTCCCTGTTCATCTGACGTAGCATCTCAACCTGTCAATGATAGCGCTGGACTGTCCCTGTCATCTTGACGTAGCATCTCAACCTGTCAAGTAGCGCTGGACTGTCTCTGTCATCTTGAGTAGCATCTCAAACCCTGTCAAGTAGCACTTGACTGTCCCTGTTATCTTGACGTAGCATCTCAACCCTGTCAAGTAGCACTTGACTGTCCCTGTTATCTTGACGTAGCATCTCAACCCTGTCAAGCAGCACTTGACTGTCCCTGTTATCTTGACGTAGCATCTCAACCCTGTCAAGTAGCGCTTGACTGTCCTGTCATCTTGACGTAGCATCTCAACCCTGTCAAGTAGCACTTGACTGTCCCTGTCATCTTGACGTGCATCATCAACCCTGTCAAGTAGCGCTGGACTGTCCCTGTCATCTTGACGTAGCATCTCAACCCTGTCAAGTAGCACTTGACTGTCCCTGTCATCTTGACGTAGCATCTCAACCCTGTCAAGTAGCGCTGGACTGTCCCTGTATCTTGACGTAGCATTAACCCTGTCAAGTAGCGCTGGACTGTCCCTGTCATCTTGGCGTAGCATCTCAACCCTGTCAAGTAGCGCTGGACTGTCCCTGTCATCTTGCGTAGACATCTCAACCCTGTCAAGTAGCGCTGGACTGTCCCTGTCATCTTGACGTAGCATCTCAACCTGTCAAGTAGCGCTGGACTGTCCCTGTCATCTTGACGTAGCATCCTCAACCCTGTCAAGTAGCGCTGGACTGTCTCTGTCATCTTGACGTAGCATCTCAAACCTGTCAAGTAGCGCTGGGACTGTCCCTGTCATCTTGACGTAGCATCTACCCTGTCAAGTAGCGCTGGAACTGTCCCTGTCATCTTGACGTAGCATCTAACCTGTCAATTAGCGCGGACGTCCCTGTCATCTTGACGTAGCATTCTCAACCCTGTCAAGTAGCGCTGGACTGTCCCTGTCATCTTGACGTAGCATCTCAACCTGTCATAGTAGCGCTGGACTGTCCTGTCATCTTGACGTAGCATCTCAACCCTGTCAAGTAGCGCTGGACTGTCTCTGTCATCTTGACGTAGCATCTTCTAACCTGTCAAGTAGCACTTGACTGTCCCTGTTATCTTGACGTAGCATCTCAACCCGTCAAGTAGCACTTGACTGTACCTGTTATCTTGACGTAGCATCTCAACCTGTCAAGTAGCACTTGAACTGTCCCTGTCATCTTGACGTAGCATCTCAACCTGTCAAGTAGCGCTGTGACTGTCCCTGTCATCTTGACGTAGCATCTCAACCTGTCAAGTAGCGCTGGACTGTCCTGTACATCTGACGTAGCATCTCAACCCTGTCAAGCAGCGCTGGACTGTCCCTGTCATCTTGACGTAGCATCTCAACCTGTCAAGTAGCGCTGACTGTCCCTGTCATCTTGGCGTAGCATCTCAACCTGTCAAGTTAGCGCTGGACTGTCCTGTCATCTTGGCGTAGCATCTCAACCCTGTACATAGTAGCGCTGGACTGTCCCTGTTCATCTTTGACGTAGCATCTCAACCCTGTCAAGTAGCGCTGACTGTCCCTGGTCATCTTGACGTAGCATCTCAACCCTGTCAAGTAGCGCTGGACTGTCCCTGTCATCTTGACGTAGCATCTCAACCCTGTCAGTAGCGCTGGACTGTCTCTGTCATCTTGACGTGCATCTCAACCTGTCAAGTAGCGCTGCGACTGTCCTGTCATCTTGACGTAGCATCTCAACCTGTCAAGTAGCGCTGGACTGCCCTGTCATCTTGACGTAGCATCTCAACCTGTCAAGTAGCGCGGACTGTCC